TATAATGTCTATGGTATTAGCATTCATTCATTCATTCATTCCGAGCTACAGGTGACATTTCACTTTTCCCCATTTGGTATTAACCCCGAGCCTCAAATATTTCTCCTTTCAAAAATGAACAAAATAAACGATAAGCAGAAAAATAATGTCTCCACTGACCCGCTGTCAGAAACCATGACGCACTTTCCTGTCGAGCAGACACGGCGAGCCGCCTGGAGAGGACAGCCGAGTCTCTGAAAAAGCGACCACACACTCTGAGAGCCATCTTACTTTGACAAAACAACAGCTGCTGTGTTTTAGCTAACAAGACGTTGTTCGTCTGCGAAGAACTGGATCACTTGTTTACATTCACATTGCCTGTAAGGTAAAACCATGTTGCTTTAACCAAAGAGAGGTATCTTCCGCTCTGGAGAGGGTCTGTATGAGTGTGCTTGTGAAAGCTACACCGCCCCCTAGCGGCCGCAGGGTCAACTGCACCCCTGAACATCCTACTCGCATTCATCTGAAACGTTAAAGTCAGATAGCAAATTAATCACAACCCACTGATTAAACTGATTTTTTTCAAGGCAAATAAAACTGAAATATTTATTGTTTGACAAGATTTACATCATAATATCCAACTACTCTCCTAATGACTCAGTAAAGACTGTACCAGTTGCGTACTCTTCACTGACTAAATCGAAAATGACAGTTCATGGTCTGAGTGACTGAAAATGATTGCATAAGAAGAGAAACAAGGAAACAAACAAATAAAGGCTGGGGAATGAGAAGAGAGATCATTGAGTTTGGAGGAACTATGCGATGGAGGAAATTATTCGAGTGGGCACAACTGTTCTCTAGGCCTTACTTCTACATAACAAAATAATATAACTCTTGTGTGTCATTTAGCAGCAAACCCTCTTTAACTCCCAGAAGTCCCCTGAGGCCCCAGCTTAGGAACCACCTGTCTACAGCAGGAAGGACAGAGACAAGCTGAAATCAGCCGACGGCAATCCCAAATCAGCTCATCACAATGCACAAACGCGTCTGCCAACATGAGCAACCTGCAGTTTGACAGACCTCAAAGGGACTTTTAGAAGAGGTGATATTCTCTAGATTACTTTGTGAGCAATGCTGCACCCACAACCGCAAATCAGATTGCACTGCTCAGACATTTTCTTTCACTCTTGTCCCATGAGCGCACACAACAGAGCTGATCCCCAAGGGTGCTTGAAGCACAGTATTGACAGTGTTGTTGAGGATATATTGAGCATGGGTCACCTAAAGCAGCATACTAACCTGAAGAAAGCATGCATGCTGACAAACTCACTCACCTCCCCGTAAGATTTAAGCACTAATTCATGAGGATGAGCTGATATAATGGCCTGATAACCACAAAGTGCATGAGGTTAATAGTCGGACTAAAAGGACGCAGTTTGCGTGGTGATTGTTTACTGTAATACGTTGTTTTCAATATGCAAGGGAAAGCCAAGCAGAGCAGATGTCTCCCTGTAGTCCATCAAGCTCACCGGCTGTTTGTTAGTCCTGGAGGACTTGCTCGGGGTGGAACAAACACCTCCACTGGGGAGGATGATGAAGGATATCAGGTAGCTCACAATCTGTCATCATCTAACTCTAAAAGCTCAGCAGCAATGGAGGGGCAACAAAAATGGAGCTTTTAGCAGACACTTACTGCCAAATTCCAATTGAACCAGAAACCAAAAGGATATTTGAGGATCAGTAATGTTTGAACTTCCCCTCTATCTGCCTCTCTCTTTCTCTCTCTCAAATTCATTCAAGGCATTTTCTCCCTCCGGGCTTTCCTCACATGGCCACTTCACGTGGGAGTGTATCAGAGTCTTTCTATGACTGCATTAACTTTGGCCTTCAGAAAGAGCTCTCTCTCTCTCTCTCTCTCTAGAAAAAAAAGGAAAAAAAGACAAAAAGGCTTCGCCTGCAGACCATTTAATCATAAGCTGTAGCCCACTTTGGTATGTGAAGTGCACTTGCCAATGAGATGCTGCACGGTGTGATGGAAAACCTCTCTGCTACAGCGATTCAGCATGCTGTTGATTCCTAATCAATCTTTATTTTCAGTAATTCAAAAGAACGCGCGGCACTGACGTTGTACGAGTCAGATCTCCCCGAATATGCAGCCCGATGTGGAGATTTTCTCAAACTTCTATTTTTGATTTATTAATAACGCTAGCTGGAATTAGATGAGCAATAACTGGCAGTTTCTGTGCTAATAAGGAGAGCTTGCTCAGCACGAGGAATAACAAAGAACTATAAGCACGAGCCACGGGGCATGTCAACAGGGAGCAGAGGTGGGGGAAAAACAATCTGTCAGTGCGTCAGAGCATCCATCACTCCATCACCACTGATTGCAGTGAGAGGCGTGATGGGGCACAGCCGGCTGACTTTCTCTCAAACAGCCGCTCCTGAACTTTATCATGCTGAGAACTCCAACACAGATCGGCTATTTGCGAGGGATCCCACAGATTAATGAACGGATGGATGAATTTCCACATGTGAGAAATGAGATTCAACTGTTACATTTTATGTGACGCCCTGAAGGTCCCCCAAGGTCCCTCGATTCAGCAATCACTGCTCGAGACGTCCTTGCTCTGCCTGCTTTTTTTTTTGTTAAAGAGGTGATTTAGCTCCTAAACTACCCATATAGGTCACACTGATGCTCTGATTGTACAATCTCTCTCTCCGTGGGGGAGATAAAGTGGGGTGGAAAAAAAAAACTTTTATTCATTCCAGACTTGCAATCGATGGGACTTGTCTGTGAAGTGGATCAATAATGCCTCCCTTTGAAATCATCAATCACGTCAGTGGTGAATTTAAAAAGCGTAATTAGGAACAGCGTTCTTAAACATCCTGTATTGACATCTTCTTTGGTATGGAGAAAGACACCATTCTGCATCATTAACTTTGTATTATTGCCTGATGGAGCCTGCTGCTGCTACTTCCCCACCTGCTGAACTCGGAGCGCTCTGTGTGATTGGGCTTTCAGACCAAATTCTCCCTTCTTTCACTTGCTGATGGGGGGAAGTGAAGCTTGCAGGCCTAAATTGGCTGAAGTATTGTAATAAGCCCAGTCCATACTGGAGCTCAGGCCGCGGCTTCACAAAGCTTTGTATCAGAAATGTTTACGGGACTGAGCACGTGTAATTTTCTCTGTAATAATCTTATCTGATTACTTTTGCGGAGGCTCCAACGTGACAAGACATTACATAGCCGTGAGCACACATTCTTAAGCTTCCACAACTGGCCACGGTCTTGAGTGTTGTCGGTCTGTCTCTCTCTTGTAATAAAAATGGTATCAATACTGCAGAGAGGGCAGGTGGGCGATTGTAATGGAGTAATTTATTTTAGTTGTCACAGAAAAATAAGTCTTTGATTAGGGAGCTATACACATCAGGCTGCACAAATAGAACCTTTCATCAAATCACAAAGCATGTGACACTATTGACCAGGAGTCCTCTATCTGGGTTTTTATCTTCCCCAACAAGATTCATAATACAATATGTGAGCAGCACAATGAGGCAAAATGCAAGCAGAATATAGCATAATATAGCTCATGCTCAAGGCAAGTCATGTGCAATTCTTCCAGATGAGTAGGAAATTTTGGTCAGAGATGCGCACAAACAAGCTTAGAGGTAAATGAGCAATATTCAATATTCAAGGTTAGAATACTGATTATTGAAGTTAAATGGCAGGTCAAAACATCCTCACCTCAAGCCTGCTCACTCGTTTTCTTTTCGTGAAGTTTTCCGGATTATGCTTTAAATTCATAAATGAATTTCAAGACATCTAGGAGGGAATATACAGATGGGTGACTGAACTTTACTTGAGCTACATGTCCAAAAATATGAAGCATAACACCTATACACCTTGTATATACCTATACATGTACTGACGTGAAAATATATACATTGACGAGTATGAAATCATGCCACAGTACTTAATGTCACTGAGTCTCAACCCTGACTGACAGCTGCTCTTCACAGCAATCCCTGAAAACATTTGTGCTGCCTTAAAAACATTTGATTCAGCTTTTAGTCTCCGTCATGTTCAGATGCTTACAGCATTGCAAACTAGAGACCTGTATCAGATTAAAGGGAAAAAATACCTTCAATACATTTTCAGTGGACTGATGCATTGTTTCACCGAGTTTCTGCACTCTCACAAGCTTACATTTTATTCCACTCTGACACCTCTTTCATATACTGAGTTGCGTTAATGTTAACAGGTATGTGTTTAATTCTGTTTGATTTTGCTTTAGTGAATTTTAGATCATTTGCTTAATTATTGAATTGAATTATTACTTGTTTTTTAAATTTTGATTTGTACCCATTATACTTTATTGTATTTACTTTGCTTTTAGATTAGTTTGGACTTTACAGGGATTTTTGTTTGTTTTTGTTTTTTGTTTATGTCATATTTTATTTTGCCATACACTATTCTGATTATTTAAGCTATTTTGACATAGGTTGTGTTTAAGTTTTCCAACTGCTGTAACAAAAGAATTCCCAATTTTCTGTGATGAATAAATTATAAATCCAACTCCGATGAATGCTGTCTCATTTCACTCTGTCTCATTTCAACCATGTATGACTGTACATGGTTGAAATGATAATAAAAGCCACTTGACTTGACTTGAATGCCATAGCACATGATTTACACCATTTTCACACTCCTGAAACCATTCAGTAAACGCGTGTACCCTTTAGGAGCATTGTCATATATGTAAGTCCATAATATGTTTCATACCTTACCACAGCTGATGAAGCTGCTGTTATTTTGTCTACAAAGCTCGTTAACCAAATCTAATTAGACTGACGAAAAATAGACAGCTAAAGGCTAATATTTATTTACTGGCCTATATAGGAACTATTTTAATGTATTTCACTAATTTCACGTCCAAATATTCAGCCGTCCAATCGCGCTTCAAGTTCACTGTCCCTTTAAACCACTCGGGCGTCCTGCGCAGCGCACGGCGCAGTCTGGAACGGTCCCAGCTACAGCGCATGCGCCAGAAGTTGCTGCCGCAGACAGCAGCAACAGCAGTGATTCGGCAGCACAGGGCAACGGGAGAAAATCTGTCCGTTTTAAACCATGGCGACGTACTAAACGATGCCTTTCGCAGAGGTAAACGGAGAGTAAGTAGTTGTATCTTTATAACACGCCTGCTGTCCGACACCGTGTGACGTCCTCTGAGAGTGTGGCGTAAATATTAGGAAAGGTTGAGAAGGCAACAATGGGACTGTGTATGTTTCAGACTGGCTGGCTAGGTTAGCTAGCCAGGAGCCTGGGCAGTCAGCTGGCACGCTGACTGGTAACATACAGGTTTATAGCTACTGTACTGCTCTCCTGCATTGGCCCTGTATCTACTGTAAAGCTCCCATCAAAGGCTTAAATCTCTCTGATACTCAACTATGTTTTAGTTAGAGGGAAAAGCCATAAATTCTCGATTAGAGCTGATGATAACTGTACAAACTGGGCTTATGTTGTGTTGTGTTCAGTTGGTTAGCTAGTTTATATTGTGCAATGTGACAGCCACCAGTGCGGATTAAGCTGAGCTGTATTTGCCTGCTAAAGTATCATCGTCATCATCATCACACTCGTATGTTCACCGATTAAAAATGTCATCAACAATGATGCAGGTAGTTTTGCGCCTCATCTCAAGCTAAATCGTAAGTGGTTCTCCAATAAGAAGCCAGTTGCGGATGAAAGTTACAAGTTCGGTTATTTTATACTGCTTGCTACCTTCAAAGTTGTCTACCCCTGGCTAGTGTCCGATATAATCATGAAAGCGTGCAACCATTTGCCAAGATTTAGAGTCTCGGCCGTCTCCACTCGACTGTACAGATGCTGTGCGCCCTCCTTGCTCTCCAGGCGCGTCTGCAAATGGCACCTCTTAAACATAACGCCACGGGGAAGTGTTTCCACCTGCAAAAGCAAGTGTTAAAGGTGATAACAAAAGGTTGACGTCACCGAGCTCATCCTGATCCTGCCGCACAACCTCGACCGCTGAGGAGGTGGAGGAGGAGGAGTGCAGGAGTAGTTTCAGAGGACGAGAACAGCTTCTGTTTTTAATGCTAGGACGTCTAATGGTTCGTGTCTGGAAGGAAAAGGTCTATCGCTGATCAAATTTCGGGTATCCTAAGGGCGCACTTAACTAATGGGATCATATCGACGTTTCTCCCCCTCCGAGCCCAATCTTTACACGGCGGAATGTTAATGTTGTCACAGCCTGTCCGTGTTGTCTTTGGCTGCTCTGCTTTTATTGCTGTAATCGGTCTGTAATGTCATGGAGCTTGTGACGGATTTGATTAAAAGGCAACTCTTCTGTTCTATGACTGGCCGGACTATGGAAGTTATCTGCTTTGCGCTTCACATGGTAAGATGATAAAACTGTGAAATATCCAGCGATTTAAAAAAAACAAACAAACAAATAAAAGTGTTTTGTCTACATTTGCATGCCCGTTTTGAAATATATATATATATATATATATAAATAATCTGTCGTTATGTAAAAAAGCCTTTTATCTCTTCTTTACCACGACAAAGGTGGGACTGTCTAGTGTATAGCAACGAGGGAAGGATGTGCCCTGTGATATCCAGCGCTTACTCAAACAAGAGCCTCACATTACTTGCCCAGAAGTGCAGTTTTGCAATGTAGCTTTCTTCCTCTATATTTTCCAAAGAGCGGATAATTAAATTTCAGACCTTGTTGTCGGGGAAACTCGGGGGGCGCGGGGGGTGTCCCTAGAACTGTATTTTTTATTTTATTTTTATTTTTTTTGGCAATTATCGTGTAGCAGGAACCCTCTTTGCATTGGGATGCTATGTTTCCCAGCACAATGAAGCTTAATTGGGGCTCAACAGCAAATTAATATAAGGCCTCTGCCCGTCTGTAAAATGCAGTTCACCTCTAATGACAGCAGTTATGTCAGTGAATATATCTCTGTGTGTGTGCCACTGGGTATGTGGTTGCTTCTATTTAGGTCTGAAAATGACGTGTTTGCTCTTAGTTATAGAGGCTGCAGATAAGTCTGGATGTCATGAGCGCATGGTTCATTCGTTCATGTCACGCTGGTCAGCTCTGTAGAAAATTACAGCGTTCCAGCAAATTGAAATACCACTTGAATGTATGTGTTAATTAGATCTCTGCATGCCTTTTCAAAAGTGTCTCTCCTCCTCTGCCCATGAGTCATGTGCTGACTCTTTGACCTGTCACCACAAATCCTGAGTCTTTGCTGAGGGCAAACTGAAAGAAAAGCAAAGTTTTTTTTTTTCCCTTTTTTTTTTTTTCACCTTCCCAGCCAGCCACTGACAAATTTGAACATATTGATCTACACTAAGGGCAGAGGAGGGCAATTTCCTCTAAAGTACTTGTGCAGCATCTTGGCTGCTATTGCCTCTGTTTGTTGTGGCCCGCAGGTGACGTAAAACTATGGCATGGGGGAAAAAAAGCTACATATTGTAGAGAACACACATGATTAGAGGCTTTAGAATAAGTCGAGTGTGATTGTAATGCACGCCTACCCAGTTTTCCAGACGCTATTCTTACACGTTGTTCTTGCAAACACATGGCAAAGCAGATATTAGTGAGTGATGACTAGCTTCACAAGGTTCAAACCAATCATTGTGAGCACCTTACACTGAAGCCCAGATGGTTTTGTGTTGCAGAAGGTTCTCCATTCGACAGCCAAACTGTCTGATTCCCAACATTAGGCTTGTTTCAGACAGCAGTAATAAGAGGATAACATCAAAGCTCTGCTTTATTTCTGAGAGACTTCAGAGCAAGACTATGAATAACAGATCACAAGGTACAAAGAGTGAACCAGAGAACTTAGGCAGCTTTTATGTTTCAGCTGTTGTTGGGATTCACGGGGAGCTCATTAAAACACATTGATGAGGAAGAGTCCCGATCCTCTGATTGTTGACTGTGAAATTGCTCAGCTAACCAACATATTTTTGATGCAATGATTTTTCTGTGCCGGAATGAGCCTCTTGGCTGATGCTCATTCAAAGCCAGTGATTTGATGTAGCATTTTAGAGACTGTACTTGAAATGGAAATGTGTAACCGTGTGCTCTTCCCCCAGTGCAACACATTTGTACCTTTCTTTTTTTCTTTTCCTGCAGGGTCCTGTGTATGTTTAATCGCTCACAGGTGTTGTCAGTGAATTTTATGCCCAGCATATTTTTTATTTTCCACACCTGATCATTTTAGATGAGAATGATTTGACTAGTTCCATTTGCTAAATAAGGCTGCCCCTCTACCCAGGTGCCAGGCAGAAGGACTGAGATTTCCTAGGTACCATTGATCTTTCCGCCAGCTCCACCTTTCAGTCCTCCCATCACCAGGGCAGCTGTCAGCCCACACTCACCCACTCAGCCACCCACCACTTGGAGAAACTCTCTCTGAGGCCACACAATGTCTTCTCAGCTGAATGAGTCTGTTTTCAGACAGTGAACAGATGTTTGGTAGCCTCTGTGAGAAAGTCAGGAGACTCAGTATGTGGGTCAAACGCAGGTCAGACTAAGCATAGAGAACTGCAGCCACATGATACATCCAGATCAAGTGTTTACAACATGATGGGCAACTTCTGGATATCTCTGAGAAAAGAGACTCAACTGCAGGACTGAGGCTGTGGGTCAGCTGTTTGCATGGTATTCAGTTTGGTTCATGTGGGTGCTTTTATTTTGTGCAGTGACCGCAGGCAGTAGCCTTCATATGAAGATACAGTTTGTTTCTTTGTTTGCTGCATTTTTGTGCATAGATTTGCATGCTAGCTGGCAGGTCCAATTAGGGTAACAAAAAAAAAGAAAAGAAAAATAAAGCCCCACTCTTGCTTGGTAGTTTGCATAATCAGCAAAGCCGAGCCCTTAAGCCAGGGAGTGATGTTACAAACACAAGGAGCAAAGGGCTTTCTGAAATTGTTATGTCTTCAGCTTGAGGGTAATCATGGACAAATCTCTAAGCCTCACAGTGCCATTCACAGCAATAACAACAGTTAGTGCAGTAGGACGAACAGGGCTAGGTCTAGGAGAGCATCTGTGTGATCAGGCTTGTCAGAGGCATTGCAGATGACGGGGTTGTTTATCCACCTCCATCTTCACAGGAACAGCAGAAGAGCAGGGCATATACTGTTATCTGTTTATGGCACAAGATAAGGGCATCTCAGTTGGATCACTGACCCTCCACGGGCACTCTCCGCCTCCTAGTACCAAGCGCTGTCTAATAAGAGGTCGCCAGACGAGTCCCATATCACTCTTAAGTGATCCTAATAGATGCCATTAGCATGTCCACGGTTATTGCTGCAGTTTTCCACTGACCATGCCAACTGTACATGTCAGGGCATCATTATCCACCGACAGGGAGGCTCAGAGTCTGACCCAAGTCTGTGGGGTCAGAAAGAATGCCACAACAAAGCAGCAGTGAAGCTGTAGAGGATATCAAGTGGTGGGGATATAGGGGAGAGTGAGCTCAAAGTGTCATAGTTGGCACAGACATTAGATAAAGCTTAGCTACAAGAGGATTAGAGAGGGAGGAGATGTAAAATGCTCTCGGCTAATTGGGCTTTATTTTTAATATTTCAGAGGGTTCATTAGACACTAAATTGGTGAAGTATTTCAGCTCTGTCTGTTGCCTGAGAGCCTTTTTCGGGACAAGCTTTACAACCTGAATAATGGCATAATTTTTGTTAAGGCCTGGTCATTGAAAATAGCACACTGGTATATTAAAATTCTCCCTTTTCCCCTCCTGTTACAAGGTTAGATTTCATCTTTTTTGCCCAAATACAAGCTTAGTTGCAGGCCTACATCTGGGTCAGTGCATTCTGACTTCATCTACTTGACTTTTTTTGTTTTTTCCTCTATGTAATTTTGAGCAGGTCACAGTTGCCTGAAGGATATACTTTAGGGTATCATACAGTTGTCTTTCAAACTGACAAAGCAGTGAATGACTTTGACAGTGGGCATGGGGCTCAGAGGCTTGGTCTGGGTGTTAAGCTCTGTGCTCGAAAGGGACGTAGGCTGTGCTGAGAGAGCTGTCGAGGAGAGCGGTCAGTGCACAGCGCTTTGCCATGACCCTCCACAGCTTATCATCAGTTACACCACTTCTCCGGGCCTCAGTGTGTGGGTGTGTTTTTTCTGTGTCCGTGCAGCGTGCTGGAGACAGAGTGGTGCTTAGAATGGGGTCCTTTATAACCTCCTAACCCTCTGGTCCTGTTTGCTTCCATTGTTGGCCACAGTGAATGGTATCTCCGTGCCTTGAAAAGTAACCAGATGACATTCTTCCTGTTGTTCAAAAGGGCCCGGGGTTCCGTTGTAAAAAGCATCTGAAAGGATAGGCTAAGACTGTGACCTTCAGAGGCTAATCTCTGGCATGTCATTCAGTGCCTATTTGAAGCAAATGCAGACCTTTCTCCCTGGTAGCAACGCACCAGTTCAAACAAAGAAATTCCTTATCAGTTTTCAACACTTAGACTTTTAAAAACAGTCAAGATAGTTTTGGGGTTTTTTTTTTCCTTTTCCCAGAACCACCTTCTCCATAAAGGAACCAGAGGATGTTTTGTAGCAGCTGAAGTGAATCGTTATTCCAGACAGGCAGTGTGTCTGACACCTACATTGTCCAAACAGTCTCTTCAGCCTGTGACTGAGCCCTCTGTACACAGACCTGTGGCATCAGCAGCCCCTCTGTACTGAATGCTGAAATACCGCTGCTGCTGTGAAAGCAACGGGGATGAAATGCACTTAGTGAGACAGTAAACATCGGTGAGCTCTCAAACTATCTTACGTTGTTTATGTCTCCTTCTCCTCTCCGGTGTATTTGCTGTGTTCAGCTGGCTGAGTTTCCTGGAATGTGCAGAGATGCAGTTGTCGCTCTGTAGGGGGATGTTGGCTTTAATCACAGTTCATAGTTCAACTCTGTAGTTGGACTCAACTGAGCAGCAATCAGACAAGAGCCACATTATTCTTCTGAACTGGAAGACCACACTTGATGTAGCTGTTTTATTATGAAGTTTGCTCTTTGCTCAACAGATTCAGATCATTTTTTCCCCTCTTGTATATGAAGAGTTTGAAAAATGAGCTATTTAAACTTTGAACCACAACTATTGCATTTCTGACAACACTTGAAAGGGAGCAGCCTTCACAGCATAATACGGTACTGAAAGTTTTACTTTCCATGACTCGCTCTTTAACAGATGCTTTTAGTCCACACCTAATGAGACTTTACCATTCATCTATTCAAGGGGATTTGCTTTTCAGCAAATTCACTTTAGTGGCATTGAGCTGTCTTTGTGCTTGTCTAAAAGATCTCTTGAGAGCAGGCCTCCCATTGCAATGTTTCGTCTGTGCTTCATGTGTACCACCTGTATGGGGTTAAGACT